TGGGACCTGGGGGGGACAGTGGGACCTGGGGGGGGACAGTGTGGGGTGTGATGGGCACTGGGACCCGGGGTGGGGGGACATGGGGAGCTGGAGGGGGGGCTGGGACCTGGAGGGGACAGTGGGGCCTGGGGGGGACAGTGTGGGGTGTGATGGGCACTGAGACCTGGAGGGGACAGTGGGACCTGGGGGGGACAGTGTGGGGTGTGATGGGCACTGGGACCTGGAGGGGACAGTGGTACGGGGGGGGGACAGTGTGGGGTGTGATGGGCACTGGGACCCCGCCATTGGCCGGCAGACGCGGGAGGAGTGGCAGTGGGTGTTCCTCATCGCCGCCCTCGTTCACTACGCGGGGGTCGCGTTCTACGGCGCCTTCGCCTCGGGGGAGCCGCAGCCCTGGGCCGAGCCCCCCCGGGAGGAGGCCGAGCCCCTCGCGCCGGGCGGCGACGACGACGAGGAGGAGGAGGACGAGGAAGGAGGCGGGGGGGCGATGGGACCGCCCGGAGGGCCCCCGGCCGGGTACGGGGCCACCGGCACCACCCCGGCCCCCGGGGGGGTCCTGGGGGATGCGGAAGGGTGAGATGGGACCTCCCTCCCCTCCCAAATCCTCTCCCGAGCTCCCACCGGGATCACCACGGACTTCCCCCCTTCCCCCCCCACGACATTCCCCGAACTCCCCTCCCCGGGATTCCCACCGGGGACCCCTCGAGCCCACCAGGATCACCAGGGAACCACCAGGATCCTCAGGGACCCCCCCTCCGGACCACTGGGGACCCACCGGGACCACCAGGATCCCCAGGGACACCCCCCCTCCAGGACCGACAGGGACCCCCCAAACCCACTGGGACATTCCCCTTCCCCCCCGGACCACTGTGGACCACCGGGCACCCCCCAAGCCCGCCAGGACCCCCAGGGACACCCCCTCCAGAACCACCAGGGACCCCCCCAACCCTCCTCCCCCCCCCCGTGCCCCCCCAAGACCGGGCCCCCCCATTCTGTACATATATAAATACACGGGGGGCTGCGGCCCCCAGATCGGCCCCGCGGCTCTGTGTGGTCTGGGAGCACTGGGACGGACTGGGGGGAACTGGGGGGGATTCTGGGGACACTGGGGGGGGGCTCTAGAGCTCCTGAGGGGCACTGGGGGGGGGGTCTTGGGACACTGGTTCCAGTGGCAGTGGGGGGGGTTCCGGGGACACCTGAAGGGCTCTGGGGACATTGGGGCGGTTCTGGGGATATTGGGGGGGGGTTCTGGAGACACTGGGGGGTTCTGGGCACACGAGGGGGGGGTCGGGGTGGGCTTTGTGGCCCCGCCCCCAAAGCCCCCGAGGCCCCGCCCCTTCACTTCCGCCCTCACCGACTCCCCCAGCGCCTCACTTCCGCCCTCGCTTCGCCGTCTTACGCCACTTCCGCCCCTGCCGCAGCCGACGCCGGAAGGAGCGACCCCGCGTGGGGCGTGGCCTCTTGCGGCGCGGGCGGCGGCGATGGCGGAGCCGCGGGTGCGGCCGGGCGGGCCCGGGGCGGCTCTGGGGGGGCTCTGAGGGGCCTTGGGGGCGGCCGGGGGGCTCCGAGGGCACCGGGGAGGGGGATCACCAGCGAGGGGATCCCGGGCGGGCGGCGGGAGCGGCCACGTGGAGGCCCCTGAAGCCTCCGGTGACCCCCCCCCCCCCCCACCTTCCTCCCGGTAACGCGAATTCCACCCCCGGTGCCGCAGGTGCTGGTGATCGATGGGCGCGGGCACCTCCTGGGCCGGCTGGCGGCCATCGTGGCCAAGCAGGTGCTGCTGGGTGAGTCCGCGACCCCCCTGAGACCCCTCCCGGGACCCCCCCGGGACCCCCCAGACCCCCCGCGCCGTGATGAGCCCCTCGGCTGTGGAGCGTCGCCGCAATGAGAGCCGCCCTCATGCACTACCAGCTGAGCGCGGGGGGCTCCGCGGGGGTCCCGGGGAGGAATTCCCGGGCCCAGCCCTGACCCTCCCCTTTCCCCGGGCCCCGCCGTGTCCCCCCCAGGGCGCCGCGTGGTCGTGGTTCGCTGCGAGGGGATCAACATCTCCGGCAACTTCTACCGCAACAAACGTGAGTTTGGGGGGGAAGGGGGGGATTTTTGACCCTCCCGCGGGTCCCAGCAGAATTCCCGGGCGTTCCCAGCCCCCTCGATCCGGGGAAGGGGATTTTTTAACCCCCTTTTTTCCCCTCCCGTTCCCAGTGAAGTTCCTGGCGTTCCTGAGGAAGAGGATGAACACCAACCCCTCCCGGGGGCCCTTCCACTTCCGCGCCCCGAGCCGCATCTTCTGGCGAACCGTGAGGGGTGAGTGGGGGCCGGGGACCCCCCCGAGCCTCTCCCAGAGCCGGGGGCACCCCCTGAGCCCCCCCTGACCCCCCTGTGCCCCCCCAAATCCAGGGATGTTGCCCCACAAGACCAAGCGGGGCCAGGCGGCGCTGGAGCGGCTCAAGGTGTTCGACGGGATCCCCCCCCCCCTACGACAAGGTGGGGACCCCCCAAAATCAGCCCAGAATCCCCCCCAGGATCCCCACTGGGGGTCTAGTGCCACCCCCAGATATCCCCCCCTCCAGGAGCTCCCCAAAAGTCCACCAGCACCCCCCTAAATCCATCCCCGGGACCCCCCACCCCAAGGGTGCTCCCAAACCCCCCTTAACCACCCCAAAATTCCCCACTCCACCCCCCAGACACCCCCAAATTGCTCTGGGACCCTCAGACTCCTCCAGGACTCCCCCGAGTTCCTCTCTGGACCCCTCCCAGCCCCGTGGGACCCCAAATCCACTTGGGACCCTCTGGGGACCCCTCCCCATCCCTGTGAGACCCATAAACAGCTCCCGAACCCCCTGGGACCCCAGATCCATTCGAGACCCCCTGGGGACCCCTCCCCATCCCTGTGGGACCCATAAAGAGCCTCCAAATCCCTCTGGGACCCCCCATTACCCCCCTGAGACCCCCCAAAATCCCCCCCGTGTCGATGATGTCACCTTCACTTACCTACATTGTTCGATGCTCCCTGAGAGAAACCCGAACACTGAGACACCGGGGAACCCCCCAACCCCCCTTCCCGGGACCCCCTCAACACCCCCAGACCCCTTGGGACCCCTCAATGCCCCCCAACCATCCCCTGTGACCCCCCAAAATCCCCCCCTTTGCCCCCCAGCGCAAGCGCATGGTGGTCCCGGCCGCGCTCAAGATCATCCGCCTCAAACCCACGCGCAAGGTGAGTGTTGGGGAGGGGCTGGGGGGGTTCCCCGGGGTTTTGGGGACCCCCATGACCCCCCTGTGCCCCCCCAGTTCGCCGTGCTGGGCCGGCTGGCCCACGAGGTGGGCTGGAAGTACCGGGAGGTGACGGAGGCGCTGGAGGAGAAGCGGAAGGAGAAGGCGAAGCTGCGCTACAACAAGAAGAAGAAGATGATGGTAAAGAAAAGGGGAGGAAGAAACTCCCCCAAAATTGGGGTGGGGGGCGCCCTGAGATTGGCTGGGGGGGGGGGATTTGGGGTAGGGCAGCCCTGAAAGTGGAGGGAGCCCCAAAATTAAGGGGTGGGGGGAGCCTGGAAAGCGCCGTTGCCGTGAGGGTTTGGGAGCACCACGGGGGTCTAAACGCCCCTCCCGGGGGGTCTCCCAGCTGTGTCCCCCCCCCCGGGACCCTCAGGGATCCCCCAACCCTCCCTGGGACCCCCTGATTCCCCCCAGGACCCCCTGACCCCCCCCATTTCCCCCCCCAGAGCCTGCGGCACCGCGCCGAGCGCAACGTGGAGGCAAAGACGGCGCCGTTCACGGCAGTGCTGCGACAGCACGGGGTCCTGCTCTAATAAAGGGGCTGTGCTGGCACAAACTGGGGTCAAACTGGGATCAACTGGGAGCCCCCGAGCCCGGCTGGGTGTGGGAAGGGCACCAAAGCCCTGCAGGGACTCCCACCCAAAAAAAAAACCCACTGCGGAGGGAGACCCCAAAACTCTCCTTAAGCCCCCAGACCCCCATCAGGGACCCCAGAACCCCCATCAGGGACCCCAAAACCCCCATTAACCCCCAAACCCCCATCAGAGACCCCAAAACCCCCCATTAACCCCCATCCCAGGAGTGCAGGAGCCACAAACCCACGGAGGTTTTTAAATCCTTTATTGCTGGATTGGTGTGGGGAGGGGGTGACTCTGGGGTCACGGGGTCACCCCGGGGGGGCTCTGGGGTGGCTCAGGGCTGTCTCTGAGGGGTGGGCTCTCCCTTTGAGCCCCCCCCCCCGGCCCCGCAGCCCCCACTTGATCCCGGGCCTGCTCCAGGAGCCGCGCGATGAGTTCGCTCTCGGCCAGAGGCATCACCGGGCTCTCGGTCAGACCTGGGGGGCACGGGGGGGTCAGCGGGGTCCGGGGGCACCCCCCAGGCTCAGGGACACCCCCCTGGCCTCAGGGACCCCCCTCAGCCTCAGGAATCCCCCCCAGGCTCAGGGAACCCCCTTCAGCCCCGGGGACCCCCCTGGCCTCAGGGACACCCCCAGTCTCAGGGGCACCCCCCAGCCTCAGGGACACCCCCCCCAGTCTCAGGGACCCCCCCAGCCCCAGGGACCCCGGGGCCCCCCCTCACCCTGCAGCAGGCACTCCCGGACGTGCTGGGCCTCGAAGCGCAGCCCGGTCCCGTTGGAGAAGTTGAGGGGCTGCGAGGGGGGGGGCAGCGGGAAAACCTCCTTGTTGCCCCCCCAGATCAGCTCCGTGGGGCAGTTCATGTGCTCGGGGAACTGGGGGTGGGGAGAGAGGGGGAGAAACATCAGAGACCCCCCC